AGTAGTAGTAGTAGTAGTAGTAGTAGTAGTAGTAGTAGTAGTAGTAGTAGTAGCAGCAGCACCGGCAGCAGCAGTCGTAATGCATAGTCTTTAGTTTTAGTTGAGTTTTAAACAGCGATCGCAACTGCATAAGTTCAGGTCATATGAGCGCCAAGGGGTGGATGTCAACCAAGAAGTCCAAGCAGGGAATCAGGCTTACTCTGCTCACCTCTCTAGCCTCAACAGCACAAAGTCTACTTCGACTATAAAAGCACCCCGGAAATAGCAGTTCACAAGAGAGTGACAAACATACAAAAGAAGTAGAAGAAAAAATGACGATAGTAAGGACGAGGAAAGAAAAAGCTGCAGTTCCCCATGTTGTGCCGGCACAGAATGACATGACATTGATAAATCAGCCAATTTACAATTCTACTGTGCATAAGAACATGTTAATACCCCCCCTTTGGGAATGGCCCAAGCCCAAAGAAACTTCAGTCAGTAGCACCGCCCTGGGAGGGGGGGGGTATATAGTTTAGTAGTAGTATCCACTACAAGTTCAGCAAAAGCACAATATACCAAGCTTCAAACCACCACCTCCACAAACACAACAGCAACAACAGCAACTACAATAACAATAACAATAATAATAACAAAACCAATAAAAGAATTACACTATGTAATGAGAACACAACCACTGCCACTACTACCATCACCATCAACAACAACAACAACAACAACAGCGGGTGGTCGGCCGGTGCTCTGGCGTGGATTGCGCCTTCTTTCCTATCATACTCGTACATATTATATCGTCCTTATCTTCTCTCCTTTTTGTGTGACAGCTATAATCTTCGACACTTATATGACTTAATTGTGTTGGAAGTGCCGTAAAACTCTTACTGAAACAAACACATTCACAAACAAACAAACAAACAAAAAAGCAAACAATAGCAACAACAACAACACTTAACCAAAGACACTCCGATCTCCCCCAAGCAGATGAAGGAAGTATGAGGGGCACTATCCACAAAACGGGAGGCACAAAAAAGGTCCTGCGGCGACCAGTCAGTACTGGCTAAAATCAGGACTGGTCACTTCCCTGGGCTGTTGGCATACAAACATGGAATCGACAACACGCCGGACTCAATATGTCCTTTGTACAGCGAGGAGCCCCAAAGATTTGGAGCACTGGCTGCAGAGATGCCCCGCCACGGAGGTCCGCGGTGCACTTTGGGGAAGATTCAGGGAGGTTGGATTGCCTCACCAGCAGCTACCCAAGAGAGGCGGTGACCCTGGCGAAGAGCACGCTCTTTGAGGCTCCAAAGAATGATAGACTACCATACACACAACAACAACAACAACAACAACAACAACAACAACATGATCAGTAGAAACTGCGGAGGGACTTAATTCAAATAATAATTAGAAAGACATCTCAAGCTAGCACACAGACTGCAACATTCGTTATCAAAAAACAAAAATGTCTCAGTTATGCCAGTCGATCTTTGTGGTTTTTTGGGCCCACGTGTTTTTGTTGTGTGCATCAATATGTGTGTATGTGTATATTGGAGCGCGTGCGTGCGTGTGTGTGTGTGTGTGTGTGTGTGTGTGTGTGTGTGTGTGTGTGCGTGTGTGTGTGTGTTTGCGTGTGTATACCCGCGCGGGTGTGGATACGTGTGTTAGAAAATGAGAGTGTGAAATTAAGAGAGACATAGATGGATGGGAGAGAGAAAAAGAGAAAGAGAGTGAGAGAGTGAGAGAGTGAGAGAGAAACAGAGAAAAAAAGAAAGAGAGAGAAAGAAAGAAAGAGAGAGAGAGAGCAAGAGAGAAAGAGAAAGAAAGAGAGAGATTAAAAAGAGATATAGACAAAAGAGAGAGAGAGAGAGAGAGAGAGAGAGAGAGAGAGAGAGAGAAGGAGAGAAAGAGAGAGAGAGAGATGGTTAACTCAAGCAAACAAAACCGAACTTAAAACAAAAGTAGGCTACTGGACGAAAAACAAACCAAGACAGGGCCATTAAACTGACAGGTAAATAATTACTGGACTCAGTAACACATTGCTTGAATTAATTAATTGTCCTCGCCGCAAAGTTAAATCGTCCGGAAGAAGTTATTTTACAGTTGCTGTAAACAAAAGGTAAAGCGAGGTGTGGATGATTAACAGCTTCTGTCGGTGTAGGTTGGCGGGTGGAAAAAACGAGAATTCTTTTCGTTATGTCATTAGGTCAAAAGCGTAAATGCTCCAGCCTGGAAGAAGTTAATTTTCTGTCTACTAAGTAGAGAAATATGATGGATTTTGAACGTTTTCACCTCAAATACCCCCCCCCCCCTACAAACTCGTCCGATCGCTCCTCGCTGGAAGTAAGTGGCTTTTTGTGTAAAGGTTTTACAGTACTGTTAGACACCAGGAAGGTACTTTGAAGGGAAAGAAGGACTCGGCTTTTAAATAAGACACCAGGTAGTGCAAGGAAAAGAAATACAATTTATAATTTTACAGTACTGTTAGACACCAGGAAGGTACTTTGAAGGGAAGGAGGGGCTGGGCTTTTAAGGGGGGGGGGGGGAGCTACACCTGTGGAGGCTATCTCGCTTAATACTGGACCGAATTTTACCAAATTTCACACATATAACAAGCATAGTAAGGAGTCATGAAATCCGCAATCAAATTTGAGAAAAAAGTTTCGTTTCCATGGATACGCCGCCATATTGGATTTTATTGACATGTCTTACGTAATGAATACCGCACTTATCGCTCGTGGAAATTGATTGTTTTTTTGCATACGTGTGCACAAACATCAGATCTAAAAATTTGTCTGTTGTTTTTTTCCTAATCGAATTAGAAAATCTTTAATGAATTTTTTCCAGAGGTAACATTCAAGTTCGCGAAAAATCCGTGAAAACCCACACTCCAGACACCACCGACAAAAATCTATTCCATATATCAAACATTCAACAGACAAATTTTTAGTATTACCTCTTCTCTTCATTCTGTGAAAATTTCATGAAGATGGGATGAAAAATGGTGGAGTTATTCAAAAAAGTATAGAGAAAAGTAGCATTTTTGAGAAAACAGCCGATAAAGAAAAATAAAATACTGACTTTATGAGGAAATGGCGGTTACAAACTTGCCCGGTATGGGAAAAAATCCGGTGCCATGAAATAGTTGTAGGAGAGGCTGAGGAAGCTAAATATGCCTACAACTCAAATTCCATGATTTTGAGCCGAATTTTGATTTTGGGGGTGTAGCCCCCCCCTTAAATAAGACACCAGGTAGTGCAAGGAAAAGGAATAGAATTTGTCTTTGTGTAACAGTTGTATCCAGACCTACCAAAACAAGATGTCAACCAAGACTTTACCAGTGAATAGTATCATGAATAGCAAAAAAGCAAAATCCCAGAAAACAAAACAGCAATATCATCATCGTAAGTAGCGTCAACTATTCCCCTAAAACGAACCAACCCCCCCCCCTCCAAAAAAACAACAACCCACAACCAAAAACACCATCATCTTAAAGACTAAAACATGAATAAAGACAACATCAAAAACATCAGCAGCAGCAACAACAACACCGGCACCGCCATCACCATGATTACCACCATTATTCGAGCCATTAACAACATTTGCAACAGTTACATTAACAAGAATACCACCACCAGGCCTATACCCTCACCATCACCACCAACAGAATAGCAACAGAAAAAAAAAGAATATGGAAAAAGACACAAATTCCAAATGAAAATTGATCTAAAATTTACAATTTCACTGCGATTAAGTTGGCTTCAAATTACAACCCTTTTCTTAAGTGTATGGGATAAAAGGTCTTACCCCAAAGAGAAGAACTCACTCTTACCTCAACATTCGAGAAGCGGCTCATAATATTTTGTCACAGTGTTTTGTTGTTTTTTTCCATTTGTTTAGATTTTTGTTGTTTTTATTTTAGCTTTTTTAAAGTTCTTTGCATAATATTCCTTTTCTCCTCTCAACAGCTTTACTCAAATTTTTTTCCCCTCTTGTTTCTGTTAAAAAAAAATATTCTTTGCATATTCTTTTTCTCCGAGCGTTGAAACCGCTATACTCACGTATTCTTCGGTTGCTGGGTTTTTTTGTTTTTGTTTTTGTTTTGTTTTTAAGTTGTTTTTTTTTACACATTCTTTTCCTCCAGGCAGGAGCACTGAAGCCATCGGAGGGATGTTTCGGCGGTTTCCTCAAGTGGGCCATCATCGGTGGTCTGATCGGCATGGTGGGCATTGCTGGGCTCATGGTGGGCCTACATCTGTCCGGGAACCTCACCTCACAGAAGGTGGGTGCAAAGGTTTTCTACTAGTAGTTGTAGAGAATCTTTGGTTGGTGGTCGGGGGATGGCGTGACGTTTATTAGAATAGATTATGTGTGTGTTAATTTATGGTTTTACAGCAGTGGTTTTTCGCTGTCTTTGTCTTTGTGTTTGTGTTTGTCTCTCTCTTTGTCTGTCTGTCTGTATGTCCGTCTGTCTGTCTGTCTATTTGTCTGTCTGTCTGTTTGTCTGTCTGTCTGTCTATTTGTCTGTCTGTCTGTTTGTCTGTCTGTCTGTCTATTTGTCTGTCTGTCTGTTTGTCTGTCTGTC